ATTATTTTAATTGTATTTGCTTACTTTCTATATTCTCTGATCATTATTATTCATAATTAGTTTTGGAATGCTCTTATAGGAACTCTGTTATGAAAAGTTGCCTTATGAAGGTTGGGATATTAAACGAATATCTGATCACGTTTTAAGTAGTAAACGAGAAAAGCTTTCAGTAGGAAGTTTCATAAATCCCGACGATAAACACATTCAATTGGAATTTATTAAAATCATTCAAGATGGTAACTTATATCAGGTTTTTTTTTATTTTTATTTTATTGGTTACACTAATCCTTACTTTACTTTTGTTCATTTAATTGATAAAAAGCATGGTGCCATAAACCAGAATTACGAATAACTATTCCTACACTAAGGCTAAGACTTGAAGAATTAGCCACACAATTCCCAATTCCTTTTGATGCACCATTACTTAGAAATAAAATATTAGATCTTATTGGAGAGAAGGATAAAAAAGCTTTGCAAGAATTGCCTCCTAAAAATGACGCATCTACAGAAAGGGTCAGTCCAAGTGAATTAATCGATCCTCTTCCTCCTATCAAAAAGATTTATAAAGGCTTTGAAGTCGTCGTCAAATGCTCTAAAATATTTCAAGCTGAATTATCATTTCTTAAGAAATTAGATATATCACCATACATTCTTCGTTTCTATGGTCACACAAAGATTGACGATAAAGAAGCAATGATTTTTGAATGGGCGGAACATAAAAGTCTAGAAGAATTTTATGGTTCCTGTGATCTCAGTTGGAGAAGGAAAATAAAAATAATGCATGACATTTCTTGTGGGATTGTATTCCTACTTTCAATAAATATTTTCCATCAGGGCATTAGGTGCAAAAATGTTTTTGTAAGCATTAATCAATACAATTCCTGATCATAGATTGCCAATTTATTAAATGTATCGTTAAATTATTATAGATAACACGAAGCATGACTCCAAAACTTGGAAATTTTGGACATGTAGATAAATTAAAAAATGTGATTCGCTGGATGGCTCCTGAACAGATAGAGAAATATCAAAATCCATGTGAAAAATGTGAGGAAAAATTTGATAACACAGATAAATTAGAACAAATCATTTGCCAGATAGCCCCTGAACAAATAGATAAAAATCAATGTGAAGAATGTGAAAAGAAAAAATATACATTGCACTGTGAAACTTTCAGGTATTTGTCGGAATATTCCAAGGCTATACTTTGTATTTAATCTTATTATTATTTCATAATTAGTTTTGGAATGCTTATTTGGGAGCTTTGTTATAAAAAATTTCCTTATAAAGCTTGGAATCCGAATGAAATATCTGAGCATGTTTTAAAAGGCAAGCGAGAAATGCTTTTATTAGAAAAATTTAACAATCCTGTTGATGATAATATTCAAAAAGAACTTACTGAAATTATCAATAAAAGTAAGCTTAACTTATTTTCAAGTAATTTCCTTGTTATGGTATACTAATGTTATTTTATTTCTCTTATTTTAATGTATAGCATGGCAGCATATACCACATGTGAGAATAAATATTATAGAACTAAATAGAATCCTTAAAAAATTAGCTGAGACTTATCCAGTTCTCCGTGATGACCAAATTTATCATTTGTCTAATTCATTGGAAGATAATTACCCAGATTTACTAAATGAGCAAATAATCAAAGAAAATTTTGGTAATAAATATTTTTTTCAATTTTGTAATAATAGCTGTCAATAATAATTCATAGTTTTTTAGAATACGAGGTGAGGAAAATTTCAAAAATGATACCATGGGAAGAAATACAATTTAGAGAAGAAATTGGTAAAGGGAACTTTGGTATGTTGATACTTGATAGGTATATATCTATTTCAAAGATTTATTAAAATTAAATTTATTACCAATTAAATTACTTAGGTACTGTAAATAAGGGTTATTGGACGAAAACACATGAGTATGTTGCATGTAAAAAAATAACAAATACAAAAGATATAAACGACAAGCAATCTACTGCGTTTATGAATGAATTAAAAATGCATGTTAAATTAAATTTATGTAATAACATTATTCGATTTCTGGGTGTCACTAGAGGTATTTCTATATTGGCAACCTTTTCTATCTCTTTCAAATTTAATTAATTTTATAATATACTATAGATAATACAAATCACAAATATTACCTTATAATGGAATTTGCAAATAATGGTGATTTATATACTTATATCCAACAAAAACATCATTTATTAAATTGGAACAAAAGATTGAATTTGGCTTTACAAATTGCAAATGGATTATCTGTGTTGCATAGTGAAGAAATTATTCACAGAGATCTGGTAAGATAACTTGGATAACAAAATCTGCAAAAAATTAACACTTATGCTTATGAAAACTTTTGATTAGCATGACAAAAACATTCTTATTCATAACGATGAAGCAAAAATAGCTGACCTTGGGCATGCCAGAAATGACAATATGGAAACACATGTTCATAGTAGTCTTTTTGGAGCGACTCCTTTTTTAGCACCTGAATTACTAAATAATAGTAATAATTTTAGGAATCTTCCATATTGTAAGCAAACGGATATTTATAGCCTTGGTTTTTTATTTTGGGAATTGGCTAGCGGTCGCCGACCATTCGAAAATATCTTGAGTTCCAGTTCTATGAATATCACTAGTTTTTGCGTTAAGATTATTAATGGCACAAGAGAAGATCCGGTCGATGGAACTCCTGATGATTATGAAAATCTTTATAATAGATGTTGGAAAACTGATCCAAATGAACGTCCAGACGTTGAATCAGTTTATAAAGACTTAGAAAAGATGATAACCCCTGAAATTCCACAGAACGTTGATCCAATTAATTGTAAAGGTATGTACAATATTTTTACAAGACGGCGTTTTCTTCTCTAATAACCACTTCATATTTATTCACCGACAATCAACTGGCTGACAAGTCAACTTCTCGATATATGATAATTACTTTACCAACTATCAGAAGCTGACGTATAATACAAATAATTAATGTCTGTTAAAGGTTTACGGATTGACAAAGTGATGTTCAATGAACTGGTTGTTGGTGAAATGAATTTGTCAGCTAACAGTTGCTTGATGAAAGACATACCTTTTTCGATGTATTTTTAAACTGTAATTATGGTTGTAATTTCCATCCATAAAGCAGAGTCTTATATTTAGAAGTTGCCAAAAGAAAACAGACTTTAGATATTTAGATTATAAACTACCAGACTCAATTCCTGAATTGCCAATTTAATCATTATTGATCATTTTCAGGGACTAAGTCCGTTAAGTTCTCCTTTGGCAGCACTTTTTTATGTATTCTTGCGACGAAGCACAAATTTACGTCACCATGACCATGATAATTAAATTCTTGAGCCGTGTAGCATAAAAATTTTTTTCTATGTTCCCTTATGATCATAATTTTATACTCTGTCTTATAACAATTCCTAGCTTTTTAGTAATACTCGACTAAAATTTAATCATAAATAATTAATAGAAGGTTTGGACGACAAATTGGAATCAAATATGAATGACTTTGGTGAGTATACTTTAATACAATATTGGATTATTGAATTGTTTTTATATACATGTTTATACTCATTTTAACTATTATAATTGCCAGGCTCATTTTGTCGAAATTTGACAATTAGTAACATATGTACTTCTGAAAAAGTTGTCGTTGTTCCACTTGAAGATGGGATAAAGATGCATAAAGATAAGAAATATAATGATGCATGGGAATGCTTCAAACAAAATGCTAATCTTAATAACCCATTAGCAAAATTCTGGTTAGGAAGTTACTTACTTTACGGCATTTATCATGGGCAAAAAGATCCAGATAAGGCCAGACAACTTTTTAAAGAAGCAGCTGATGAACATAATCTTTCTGAAGCACAGTGTCAATATGCTGCTTTATTGCTTGGTGACATTAAGCACGTAATTAATGAAACTGAGAGAAATAAATTATCCAAGGAAATCCTATATTATCTGGAAAAAGCAGCTGAAAATTCAGAAAATCCAAGTATTGATGCAACGTATTATTTGGGTGATATTTATGTGGCCGGAAAATTTGGAATAAGAATGGACGAAGAACGTGGGCTTGATTATTTAAAAGTAGCCGCCAATAAAAATAATGAGAATGCAATCGCTCTATTAGAAAAATTAGGGAAGTAGACCAAACAGAATAATTTATATTCAAATCCAATTCTTTATATATTGGAGATATATTTTGTCCTCAGATCAATTCTTGCCTCAGGTTAAAGTTACAGTAGAGACCGTTAATGTTACACGTATATTGAAACTGGTGAGGGATTATATCCATCACAATTGAATCCAACATAAATAATTTAATTTGTGATTGATCACAGGCGAGAGGGATTCACTTTGGATCGGGCACTGTCACTGCTGTAGGTTAAAGTTAGGATAAGGATTGGGTAATATAGTTTAATTGACAATTCGCGATAGAAAACCGGGAGAGATTTTTATAATAAAATATATTAAAATATATTAATACAGGAATCATGATTCCTATAGTTTTATAGAAAAATTAAACTTAAACTGCTTGTAACTTTATGCATATCTGACTAATTTTACCGATCCTACTATCATTAGAATCGCAAAAACTAGCTCTAGAACTTTCATTAGATGATCAAAAGATGATAGATTAATAAAAATTTAATTTTAAAAGTAAGGTATACTGATTTCTATATATATATATATCATTTTTTCAGATGAAATGAGTATAGAAGTAGGTAAACAATCCCACCAAGTTCGTGTATGCTATTGCGCAGATGAGAGATACAAACATGAATGTTTGCAACTAAATTTTAGAAGTAAAAGAGTCTTGATAATAGTTTTGTTATGTTTTATAGATAATATCAAAGATCACATGATATTTTTTGATGATTACAAAGGTTCCAAGCAAAAAATTAATAAAAATATTTATATCAAGATGTTAAATGATCATCTTATACTGTTTTTAGTTGCAGTTTATTTGTTAAACATCCCTCATTCAATTTTTCAGCATGACAATGCTCTGATTCATAAGGTATCAGATTGGTTAAATTTAAAAACATTGATTATATGATTTGCCCTCATGATCCTCTGACCTTAGCTCTATAGAAAATATTTGGAAGATCATGAAGGACAATATTCTGAACCATGATGACTTCCTAAGAAATAAATCTGATCTTAAAACAGCCTTACAAAAAGCATGTTCAAATTTGGATATATTGATTCTTCATGTAGTTGCAGACTCAATGATACAGAGAATTGATACTATCACAAGTATAGAAGGTCACTTAGTGAAGTATTAAATAGATATATAAAAAAATTTGATGTATTTGTGACTAAAATTAAATAAATAAAAATTTTATTTTTTGATCAAAAATCGAGCATTACTTTTGTTGACTACTGTATATGTATTGCTTGGCTCTATTATACAATATTGGATTTATTATTTCTTATTATGACCAGTACACCAACAACTTGGTCTGAATATTATTTATTGTCAAATTTGATTTTTTTTTAATGTCTAGAACCTTAACTTATATGTTTCTAGAATTAGTTTTTCTCTTTGACAGTAATTAATTTTATTATTTTTTAGTTTGGGGTTTTAGTTAAGTGTTAAGAGTCTATTATCAATATTTAGTTGTTTTAAAATTATAGGTCTGCCATTCCTTCTTAACTGTATCTCACTATAGGAATTAATTGCATCTTTGTTCAAATGCTCAGTATATTCCAAATTGATTCTTGTACTCTACAAATATTTCCTTCGAGTCAACACTTGTTATGCTCTACTAATGATCTAATCTTGTAATACCAACAAATTTTGAGAGTCATAAGCTAAAAATTGATAATTACGATATTATGCCAAGTGAATAGTTTTATGTTGATTCAGCACTTCTAGGGCATAATGGTTGAATTCAGTTGAGTTGAAATATATATAGTATAGTTTACCATAAGACCTAGTCAGGTGAGTAAAGCATAATGCTATATGGTACTCTATTGTCAATTTTTTGAACTTTATCAGGTTACCGTCTTGGATTCCTAATATATTTCCCTCAATGGTAGTTATGCTTTCTGTTGCATCATTTCTTAACTCTATGTATTCTTTCAATTTTATGTTATTGTTCTTACCATCCTTCTCTATTACTATATATACTTTGAATTCTTTATCCAAATCCCATCAGGTCTTTGTTTCTTCATCAATTCACTTACTATCATTCAATTTGTCATTATAATGATAAGCAATTAGTTCTACATTTTCAATACTCTAACTAGTATATTACCTAATTTCATCTCATATAGACCTTGCTCAATATTACATTCTGTTAAAGAGAGTAACTATTTTCTACCTTTCTGTATACTAACATCTACTTCTATCCTATTACTACTGACTTCTGGAGAGTCATGTTGTTGCAAAAACACATTTGCATCACTATACTTTTTATTAATCCAATGTTCTATAACATAATTGTAGGGCTGCAACTATATAATCCATCTAGCCTATCATTCATTTAGTTTCGATATTTGGAGCTATTTTAATGCCACATAGTCAGTTATTATCACAAACAACCTGAAGCTAAAATAATAGCAATAATACTCAACAGCCTACAGCATTGCCAGACACTTTTGCTCCATGGTTGAATAAATTTTCTCTACCCGTAATAGCCTTCTACTAGTATATAAGATCACATAATCCTTGCTGTCTTTTCTTTTTTGCACTAATACTGCATCTAATTCTGTACCAGATGTGTTTTTATGTATGTAAAATATCTTTAAAAAGTTTGGATACTGAAAAACAGATGTCATGTTAAATATGTCTTTAATTTTTTGAAAGCAATTTGTTGTTCCCTAGTCTATTTATATCTAACATTCTTCTTTAATAGACTATATAAAGGTTGCACAATGGTTGTGAAGCCTCTAATAAATTAATGTTAATAGGACACTAGTTATATAAAAACCCTTAGTTGTCAAGGAGTCTTGAGTACTGGATAGTGCTTTACTTTGTTAACCTTTATTTCATCAGGTCGAATACCTCTATGTCCAATAATGTGGTCCAAAAACTGATGATTATTTTTGAAAAAGCTATATTTTTCTAGATTAATTTTCAAGCCAACTAAATTCAATTTTATAAACACTTTCTTTAGGTGTTCCAAATGTTTCTAGAATGTTCTAAAATATATGTTAATATCATCGATATATATTGCTATGAACTTTTCTATATATTTTACCAATACCTTATCTATCAATTACTAAAATGTCGCAGGTGTGTTATACAACCTAAACAGTATTATCTTGAATTTGTACAAGCCTTTTCTAGTTATGAACACCATCTTTTCTTAGTCACTTGGGTTCATATATACTTGCAAGTAACCACTTCTAAGGTTCAAACTAGTAAACTAGTTTGCCTTTCTAAATGTTTCCAGTAAGTTGTCTATTTGTAGAAGTGGGTATGCATCCTTTTTCATGACCAAATTTAGTTGCTAGTAGTCTATATATATGTGCAACTTACTACCCTTTTTTTAAACAATTACTATAGGAGATTCTCATGGACTTTTAGATTTTTCAATTAACCCTTGTCTTTCCAATGACTCTAACTTATTATCCAAGAATTTTTGCTTATCAGAGAATGTCTTATAAAAATACTGCTTAATAGGTCTAGCTTCACCAGTATCTATATAATGAGTTATGAGGCTAGTTGTTCCTAATTTATCAAGACCTATTGTGAGCAAATAGCTCTTTTCTTTAATAAAGATGCAGGCCTTTTCTTTCTCTTTTTTATTCAAGGTATTAGTTTGGACAAATTTTTTTAACTGTTTTATCATGGTAGGCTCAGTTTTCTCTTCTTCTTTTTGGGTAGGTACCTTCTCAACTAAGGTTGAATATATGGCCAGACTAACTTTGTCCTTCCATGGGTTATTATGGAGATCAATTTTATTGTTAGAAGATTTTATGATATAATATCTATCGATCTTATCTAATTCTTCATCTTTATAAGTAAACTCATCGAATGTGTCATCATTACCTTTTTCCTACTCATCCTTCTTGAGCTCTCTCAAGCTTTCTGTACCAGTATTGAAGATAGGCACCTCTATAGTCTGACCTTGGTGCTTCAAGATTAACCGTCATTCATCGAAATGGAGTATGCTTTGGCTTTTTGAAACTAAATGGTTCCTAAAAGTAAGGTTTTATCTGATGATTCTATGACCTATAAGGTACTAGGAATTATTGTGTCTTGAACTACTATTCTTACATTATTAATTTTGCCTAGTACTCTTTTTTTGGTACCTGTACTCATAACTATAACAGTGGACAATTTTGACTATATACAAAGTTCTAGCTTATTGACCAGTTTTTTGGTCATTATACTGATGGCTGTTTCAAAGTCTAACACTACTACAACTGAGTTATCACAAATCCTAACATAACAACATACTGCTATCATTTGCCTATCATCCTCAAATTGTATATGACTAGCCACTTGAACAGGTGGTAAGGGTCTTTACAAAGCTAGAGCCAAGTTTCTTCTTTGATTAGAATACTAAAGCATTTGGCCTATTATGACATTAGTAGAAGCATTCATGATATCTTCTGCAACATTATAGAGAGAAAGTTTATCAATTACTAATAGAACATGCCTTTTTCTTAGTCTTCTTGCAGATATAAACTCGACTGCTACCATATTATCAAAAGCTTTTTCTAAGTTAACTAACAATGGTATATTTGCTGTATTATGATTTCTTAGACAGTTCTTCCACTTAGATTCTGGATAACTCTGAACTACCTTTTTATTGTTTCTTTCATATGGCTAATATTGGTTTTCATTCAGAATGTATACTTCATCCTCTTTCTAGTCTTTATCACTACTATGGAATATACTTTTTCCAATATAGTTGCTGGGCTTATATTTACTACTAATCCTTGAGGTCTTTTTTGATAGACAATGCTGAGTAATATAGCCAGTTATAGCATGTTATCCCCTTTCTAACTTCATGGTGCTTCTTTTAGTTGATATTACTCTTTCATTTACTCTTAATACAAGACTCTTTAGAATGTTTCTCACTAAGAGTAACGTAATTCAAGACTATCTGCTCAATTTTTTGGAATAGGTTACCTAATTCTTCTTTTAATTACTTTTGGTACCCTTTTTCTTGAGTCTACTTGTTATAGTATTTGCTAGCTTTAACCTTTTATATGCTGACAATGACCTCTTCTAAAGTATCAAGTTCAAAAATGGCTACAAAGCTTAGAGTTTTGCCACATAGCCTACTTAAAAATATTCTAATAACATAAGAGTCAGGCAACTCTTTTTCTGGGTTCATTCTGGCAACAAGACCTTTAAACTTTATCACATATGCATCAATCTTTTCATCCTTTTATTGTTATAGACTATTTAACTCTATCTGTTAATGATGACATTTCTCTAATATAGCAAAGAATTTTAGAAAAATATGATAAAAGTTTTCTTCTTAACTATTATCATTCTTCTATTCTTTCAGCTGTTTCTTTTTTCTTTTATACCAGTCAGCAACTAAATCTTGGAGATATCCAGATACAATTTTCAACATTCTATGCTCAGACCAATTATTAATCATAATGACCTTTTCAAATAATTCCAACTACTCAATAGGATCTTGTTATCATTTCTGTAATAGGAGACAATCTTCATATGTGTCAACTTCTTTCAGTATTTAGGATCTTTCTTGAAATTAGCGATGATGATTGCAACTTAGACAAAAGATGTAGTTAAGCCATCCAGAAGTTTTTTTAGCTGATCCTTATTCATTCTGACTTTAGTAGAAAGGTATTTTTTAATAGTATGATTATAAGGAGAGGGAGTTTTCAAGCACTAATACAAAATTTTTGAATCAGGAAGGAAGGGTAGCTAGTGTTTTGAATCTCATAATCACCACCAAAATGACACCATTGAACCAGCATCGATATTTTGATCACTTCTCAAATGGATATGTCATGTAACCTATGAACGGCTTAGTTGATAAGAGGCAGCTAGATTTGGTGAGTGGTGTGTTTATGATCGTAGGTTTTTATAATATAGTATCATGAAAGCAGGAAAGTATTTGAGTCAAAATGTATTGAAAGCACGAAAAACTACTCATCATGTAGGGCACGAAGCCTTTATTATATACTGTTATATTACATATGCACTCCTACAACTATTAAACATACTAAACTTATTTTTTAATATATATATTATTAATGTCCTGTATTACTTAAATACCCGATGTATCATATATCCCTTTACTTATAGTTCTTCCTTAAAACCCTTGTCACCGCTATTACCCTTATAACCGCTAAACGACTTTTAAGAGCGATAATCCCGGGAAGCCCATATTAGGTAGGTGATCGACATAGCCGTTAGTTATTACTGCGCCACCTCGATCACCTCCTTTCACGTGCTTCCGGGATCACGTTTCACGGCTCACACTACGAAGGGAATCAGTTTCATAATGTGACGTGGATATTGCTTATTTTGTCTTTTCACTGATGTTTTAGGTACGGATCCCGCAACCCAATTAACAAAGATTTTGTGCTAATATCTCCTTCTGTCACTACTGAGCATTATAAAAAAAAAACAGTCATAAAAGAGGTTGATTAAAGGTCTGTCCGAGTTAGGGTTGCTTGTTTGATGCATTTATGGTTACTGGTTCACAAAAATATCAAAATTGAATTAGCCAAAGTGACAGTGACGTAAACATTTCTATCAATTAAGTAATACATATCTTATCGTTATTATTTACGATCATTTAATATAGTATTACCTGATTGGTACAATTCTTTGGCATTCATTAAATACATCATGGCTAATTTATCAAGAATACGATCGATCTATGCAATATGTAAATCAATATCTAATCGGACGACCTCTATAAAAGGCTAAAACGACAAATTAGCATTAGCCTTAGTAGTTGTTATACCGATACATGAGAAAACCGTGTCATGGTGATTTGTATAAACGTATAATCCAATCGGCTTTAAGATTTTGCTGACGATTTATTCTTCAGTAAACCATACACTCCGTTTCACTACGTTCCTGGTACAACCCGGGTATGTAGTAATAAAACGGTGACGTTTCATAGTGCTGGAGCATTATTTATTAGGTTCTTAAATTTGAAAATAAAATTTTTAGCATTGAGTATAGAATACACTTTAATTTTATGATAGCATATTTTTATATTACGTTTATCACTTGGGTTCCAAATAATACTAAAAATTGTACCGATTAAAACATAACGTACATTATTTTACAAGTTTGAAACTAAGTACTTCAGTTTTTAATTGAAGGAAATTTAAAATGACGTCTAACAGCGACACATCACTATAGCAGTAAATTATAATTTCCTTACAATTAAGGGACCAAAATAATTTTGCGATATGACGAGTTCTAAACTAATAAGTTTATCCTATACCAAAACTATTTATTAAATATGAATTACGTTGCTACGTGTTAGTCAAAGATACTTAGAATCGCAAAAAATTCGTAAATTACTTTTAGAAATTGGCAAAAATAGTTATAATTTTTACATGCAAGACACTAAGAGACTAAATGAAATACTGATTAAAAAAGTATTACATTAACTGTCAAAAGAAGATTACATTACTTACAATCGATAAATTCGGACCTTTGGTTGCAATATTTTTCAAAATTTTGGATTCTGAAATGTAATTATTTTCATTCCCTTAAAATTTAAACCAGTATAGCATATCGAAATTGGGAGCTTTTATAAAAAAATGATTCGTTTTTTTTTTGTACCAGTATGCTTAAAAGAGAAAAAATATTTAATTTAATATCAATTTATTATTTTACATAAATATTTATTACATACGAACAACGACATATTTTATCATGTGATAGTTCAGGTATTAATTAATAATATCTTGGTTCGCTGTGTAATTGGTGGATTGATCCCAACAACGAGAAGAATCATTATTACAGTAATACAATACAAGATTTTCTAGAATAAGAATCGTTACACAAAAATGATCCTACCAAATCGAGAAATTTACCGGAACCTTTAATAAAAAAAACTATACTCACGAACAGCTGTATACATTACTTACATACAAGGACAAATAATAGCGGTAAAGAAAATTATATCGCATGAATTAGATAACGTGACACAGTCATTCATGTTTTATATATAGCGACTTAAAAAATTATATCTGTAATTGCTCTTTATCGCTATTTACATAATCCATTAAAGTCATTATTCATTCTTTTTTTTTCCTTTCTTTTTTTCTTTTCCAAGCTCATAAACTCTAGCATATATACTTATATACCTATAATTTTTAATCATGTCTAGTCTGTTCAATCTCGCTTCATTTAGTGTTGAAGTTGCAATTTCGTTATTACCTTTTTCAAATACAATAAAACCTTACTTTAATGCATTATTAGATATTCTCGTTAAAGAAGCTAATCAAATATATGAGAATGTTGAATGTAATAAAGAAGGTTGTTCCGATATGTTAGAGCGAGTTAAAATTGCGGAATCTGCTATAGAAAGATTGTCAGAAAGAAATGAAAGAGAAGAATATCATCAAAAAAGTCATTCGTATCTTAAAAGATTGGAAGAAAACTTGATAAATATTAAAAAATTTATCAATAAAGTATCAAAGCAGAAAGGTTTTAGTAGATATATTAACGCAATAGAAAATAAAAAGACCTTTGATCAATTAATAAAAGAATACGATACATTAATGAATGATCTACATTTATTACATTTATTGAAAAATTGGCTTCAAATTGCAATTAATAACTATAATCTGAAGGAAATATTTTACTATGATTTTGGAAAATTAACTTATATAAGTCGTGGTGCATCAGGAAATGTTTATCGGACTTCTTGCAAATCAATTTCGAATAAAGAAGTTGCCGTAAAAGAAATATACATCGCAGATTATGATAATGAAGAAAAAATTAAAATGTTTCTTAATGAGGTTTGTGTAGTTACGATTTAGTGAAGATGTTATATTCGTATATCTATATAAATCACAAAATTTTCCAAACTATACATTATAATACTTAATTAGTTAAAATTACATAGTCAAGTTTCGCATTTACGAATTATCCAATTTTATGGAATAAGTAAAGATCCTAATCGTGGAGCTTATTACCTTATAATGGAGTACGCAGAAGGTGGAACTTTACGACAATATTTGAAAACCGCTACACTTTCTTGGAATGAGAAAGTTAAATTAGCAGTACAACTAGTTGAAGGAATGTTTTATTTACACAATAAGATGATCACTCATCGCGATCTGGTATGTATGATTTAAACCCAATTTATTTAAACTTATTTCAATTTAAAGTTATTTCAATTTAATAAATGTTATAAATTTTCTTAGCATTCGAAGAATGTCCTCATTCATTATGATAATATAAAAATAGCTGATTTTGGCTTATCAAAAAATCTCAATAGTACAATGTCAACTAGTAATAAAATTTTTGGAATGGTCCCCTATATTGATCCACAAAAACTTCTCAACGAAAGTTACGTTCTGGATAAAAAATCTGACGTTTATAGTATTGGCGTCCTTCTTTGGGAACTTTCAAGTTGTAGAATCCCTTTTGACGGAATTGATTCATTTGCACTTTGTATTCAAATTTCTACGAAAGGTTTGCGAGAAAAACCCATAAATGATACTCCCTTGCAGTATTTTAAATTATACTCTAAATGCTGGGATGAAGACCCTTCTAAACGGCCTATAATGGGGCAAATTCTTGATAGTTTGAATTTTTTGGAATACAAGCCGATGTATTTTGAATCTGATGGAATTCTCCAGAATACGTGCCGACTTATCTCGAATCTGATGGAATTCTCTGGAATGAAAGCCGGTTTATCTTTAATTTGATGTATTAAGCCTTATCAATGAATATACAGTAAGTACCCTTATTGCCAAATTGGGTTTCTCTTGTTTTCTGATTCCAAATTTTTATGCCATTTTAATATTTGCTTAAATGAAAGACCGGTTTGCTTTCTAAAAAGTGCAAAAAATATCAATGCTGGCTTATATATAAATTAATTATCTCGTGCATTTTCGTGTTTTTACTTTAAATTTCTGGATTCTTTGCAGAAAAAAAATATTCATGTTAATGTGATTATAATAGCGATAGATTAAATTGTTATAACCTTTTTAAAGCATGTTAAACCAAAAACCCTTTGGTAAATTGATACTATTAGCTAAACTACGTTTCTGTCGGATGATTTATTTATTTTTGGTTTAAAAAAAATTGTTAGAGTTAGAATTAATGGTTGTTCAGAAAATTGATTATATTGCATCAAAATACTAGCGTTCTATAATATTGATTGGATATCTTTTACTTTCAAGTACTGTATAAGATATTGATCATGCAATGATATCAGGAACGAAGTTTATGTACTGTTAGACCCGGAACACGTGATCAACGAATCACCGATTTCGTCGTAAGATCATCGTCAGTCACGATTTTGCCTCAGCTAGGAAGATCTCACCAAAGTGGAATCCCATGCTTATAATGATTATATTGATTATAATCAGTACAATTAATATATGCGATATAAACGCTATCATCATTATAAGCGCGATAATGGATATTGGCACCCTAATAATAGATAGAATTTTGCTTATAAATAACCTGTAATTTCGTCCTAGTAATAAGGCGGATTTTGACATAAGAGATTAATAAACACCCTACCTTGCATACATCAAATAAAGGTTCTTCTGCGAGTGACTGTAGAGAACCATCGTCATAATAAAATACTTACCCGATCTAGAAATAAATCCCACCCCCGTTAGTACAGTATTCCCGAAGTAGTGTGGAATACTACAATTCTAGAATAGTAGAGTGATAGTCTCGACGTAGTGCAGACTACCCAAGATAAGCCAGACCCGAATCGAAATCGCTCGCCAAATCTACACGCCTTTTTCGACAGAAACCGTTCGAACGTTACACGAAGCCGACCTTCGATTAGCGACAGACTCGCCGAATTAGGATCTCTCAGTACTGTCATGGAAGGAAATTATTAGTTATTCGTTATTACTGATAAAATAGAGTCTCCTTTTTAATTTACTCTAATTTATTTTTTCTAAATAAGTCTATTTTTTTACTGTTTATACTATTTTAGAAATAGAAGGTGGTTTAGGCTTCGGTCTGTAGGTACATGAAAATCAAATGCATTATGTAAACACCGAAAAATTCATGTATACGTGATTACACCAAAGCCGTGCCATAAATTTTTAGGTGTATACGATAATTTTTTGGGTATACACCCAAAGTATCATGTAAACGTTCGAATTTGGGTGTAAACATTAAAATTTCGGTGTTTACTTTGTTGGAAAATTAAAATATGTTTAAAGACCGAATATTCAATAAAGAAAAATCATCCTTCGTTTCTTGAATAAATAGAAGTAAATGCTTATCTGAAATTTCTCTTGTAAATAATCCCTGGAATTCGACTTGTAACTTTAATAACCCTTTCGAGACTCAATTCGACGGACTGAATTGACTTGTAACTTCGATTTGGCTTAATAATAGTGTAGTTAGCAGTCAAATAGAACTATAACCGATTGTTAGTGGAATTAAATATTATCATTCTCGCTACCTGTGGAAATGGTAGTTGATCACTCACGTGAACCTAAATATATCACCAAATCATTATTGCGCCATCATTCTTAACAGCATCACATAACCTTTTGATCAATATCAAAGTACCCATCCCCCTGTATCATATCCAACGGATAGGTAATAGAAGACCTGCCTTGCCTAGTAATACATTGGAGTTAAATTGGTCTTTATCTATACTGATACGGTCGAAACGGCGAGTCAGTCGCTTCACGATAAGATATGTCATGTAACCTATGAGTCGGCTAAGTCGATAAGAGGCGTGTTAGATTTGGCGAGCTGGTTATTTATTATCGTAGGTATTATAATGTAGCGAAAGCAGGAAATTATTAGGGTCAAATTTTATTACAAGCACGAACTACTGTTCTCGTAGGGCTCGAAGCTTTATTATATAACGTTTTATTACATATGCCCTCCTAAAAGTATTAAACTTATTATCCGTCATATACCCCTTTAATGTCCTATATTACTTAAAACCCTTACTTATTATATAACCCATTAATTATATATTTCCAGTATCACCCTTATTACCATCATATCTGCTAATAATCTTAAACGACTTTTAGGACATTTAATCCCGGGAAACTCATATTAGGTAGATGATCGACATAGCCTTATTGCGCCACTTCGATCATCCCTTCCACTCGGGATCACATTTTCACAGCTCACAATACCAAATGACTTGCTCTCTCCATTTACCGGATACGGAGTAAAATGAAACGTATGACTTATAAAGTATGATGCCATAAATAGATAATTGCCACAATTATATGTACTATAATACTTTTACAAAGGTTTTTTAAAGCCGTAATTTTAGTAATATTCGCTATATGTAGTAATATTACTATGTAGTAATTATTTATTATATGTAATAATTGTCTGGAGTGTGAAGAACAGTTTTTACAAGAACAAGTAATCGCAATGATCATATGAAGAAATCTTGGTCAATTAGAAATTAATTAAATTAATGCATAATACAGTCAAATTCATGTAATGTCAGATACATCATGAAATATTATCAACATTGACTTAGGGTTAGATTAAGACTGTATAGTGAGGGGTCCTAGTTCGGCGAGTCTGTTGCTAATCGAAAGTTGGCTTCATGTAACATTTGGATGGCTTTTGGTCGAAAGAGGCGTGTAGATTTGGTGAGCGATTTCGATTCGGGTCTGGCTTATCCTGGATAGTCTACACTATGTCGAGACTATCACTCTAATTCTTCTAAAACTGCAGTATTCCACACTATGTCAGGAATTACTGGACAATTGGGTTGGGATTTACTACTCTATGCAGGTTAGGTTTATTCTTTAACAATAGTTCTCTACAGTCACTCATAGATGAACCTTTCATTTGATATGTCAGGTAGGGGAATTCACTTTATTACTTGCATGAACATATATTATTTATTTTTAGGGTGCTGATATCCTATATATCCATTATTGTAATTATAACAATTATAATGTTTATATGCAATATAAGCATTATAATCATTATTAGCATTATAGGTGTTATTAGTCCCAGTATAGTAAGAGATCTTCATAGTTAGGAGGGCATAACTTGAGATCATACAGTGAAGATTCCATGATAAAATCAGCCATCTATGGATCACATGTTCTGGGTCTAACAATAAATTAAAATTTGAAGAGTATTATATGTAAAATTATCCTTCTGATATTTTTATTTAATATATCAGGGTACCCTTTTAAAATCATGTAATTAAGTCTGATACTAACCAATTACAATATAACATGCATCAACTTTAATTGGTCAATCATTAAATATATAGTTACATATATACTGTATATAACAGTTGACTTCAAACAAATTGTTTGTAATAAAATAAATTATTTACTATAAAACAAATTATTAAAAAATATAATATAAATTCTAAGATTACATTTTATATTTTATAATATAATCTGAGAAAAGGTTAGATAATTCAAAAGTTAGCAATAAGATATATGTTTGTCTTATAGATCAAGCAATTTAATATACAGAAAAGAATTAATATTTATTACTCAATAATAATTAAAAAATAATTAGTAATCTGGAAGATTCTACTTAAAAATGAATATTTTACTATTAATTTTATTATCAGTGAATTTTTAAGCAGATATATATTGATATATAGCATTAAATCAATATATATCAATTAAAAATAATTGATATATATCAATTAATTGTTATATATTAATATATATTATTAGCTATATATAACAATTATTGATATATAATAAATATAAATGATTATAATTACTATTAATAAATAATAATTTCTATATATGTCATTAAATTTTTTTAAACTTTGAATTTAGTTTTCTCAATAACTAGTAATTGAAATTGGTTGAAATTTTTATTATAAATAGTATATATATTCAACTATATTACATTAAAGTTTTAATCAATTTAGATTGATATTTCTTGAAAAATCATTTATAAATAATAGATAATTTTTTAAAAAAATTAAATATAGTTTACAAATAATTTTTTAAGAACTATTAATCTTAATTAAATAAAACTTTAGTATAATATAGTTGAATATATATATTATTTATATTAAAAATTTTAATCAATTTAATTTATTAGTTATCAAAAAAACTAAATTTAAAGTTTAAGAAAATTTAACAAAATTTTGTTATATATCATTATTAATTACTAATGATGATACTTGGCAGAGGTGCTATATATTGTTAGTAATCTAAAGATTACTAATGATATATATTATTTTTAAAATTTTTCTGATGATAAGATTTATATATAAATACTAAATATCAGAAAGAAACAATTAAAAAGTATTAAGAAAATAAAAGATAAATTTTACTTAATAAAGAACTTCTATTATTGTTTAATTAAATAAATCTTAAGATCTTAATGTTTTGCATAATAAATTAATAAAAATTAGTTCATTAGATACTAATTTTTTTGTATAAATCTAGATGTTTAATATATTAGATATTTTATTTATTTTATTTTAAATTTGTAATAATTAAATTAATATAATTTTTAAATTTGTTTAGTATTATAATATAGTGTATTTGTATTTATAAACTATAAATTAAAAAAATTAGTTAATTGTTTATTAATTTATAAATTTTTTTATACAAAAAATTTTTGTATTTCTAATAATATTAAAAAATTATATAATTTGATTAGCTAATTATTATATTTAATTATAAATAAATTTATAAAAATTAACTAATTATATAAATTTTCTTAAGTATAAGTTCCCATGCTCCTGTGTTCTAAACTCTATATATCTGGCTTTAAGTGACTAACCTCTCTTTTTAAAGATTAGCTAAAATGAAGTTAATTCAATATATGATTTTTATATTGTATAAATTACATTTTTGATATTCTATATAATTTACTAATGCTAACTATATCAAATAGATAACTTTAAAACTTACTTCACTTTAGCTAACCACTCTTTTTGATAAAAAGATCTTTAATTAAAAAATTCTATAGTACAAATTCTGTACTAATTATTGGTTATGTTGTTATTTGATGCACAACTGCCTTTTAAAGCTTTGTGAATCTTTAGACTAAATGCTTAAAGAATAACTTTATATAAAAACTTTTTAAAGATTTTTATAAATTATCTTTTTTTTAATATCAAAAAACATTTTTTTTAAATAGAAATTATTTTAAAATAATATTTTAATATATTACAAATTAATTTTTATATTAGATAAAATTTCTAATTATAATAATTCCTATAATTTGGTTATTTACTTTATTATTATTATCATTATCATTATGCATAATAATTCTATTGACTAAATATATTAAAGTATTTCTTTATAGTTTCTGATATATAATGCTAAATATTTCTAATAATTAATATATATAATAATAATTACTATATAAAATAATAATTAGTCTATTTAAAGTTGATTCTTTGGTCAATGTTAACTTTTGAGCTCAGGTGAAGAAGAGAATAGCAAAAAAAAAAATAGGTATTATATTTAGTACATAGTGCATCTTAGTGCATTGGTACTAGTAATACAATAAAATCATCTTAATGATAGTTATTATATTGCTATAACTTGCTGTAATTTGCTATAACTATAGTAAATAATATCAATATAGTAAGTTATGCTTTTATAGTCATAACTTACTACATTATAGTTATGTCAAGTTATAGTAATATGATACCAATTATTGGAACAATTTTACTGTATTACTAATAGTACTATGTAAATCAGTTATGTCAGAACAATTATAAAATAATATTATAAAACAAATTACATAAATAAAGAGAATTATATAAATTTTTAATTGCTTGCTTTCTTTCTCTAAAATTTGAATATATAAAAAAACTTAATAGCATGTTAGTAAATTATATTACAGATAATATTGAAAGTAATAAGATAAATTCATATAATGCAATGTATGATAACAAAATCAACATAGATGAATACTTCAAAGAAATATATCATAGTGCTGTGAAGGTAGAAGAACTTTTTATAAATATTATTTTAAAAAAAAAAAATTTATTTTTAAATTTTGATAATGATAAACAAATATGTATAATGCTATGCCAAGTTTAAAAAATTCAAAATATGACTTGGACATAATTTTATAGTTAAAACAGAAAGTAGGAAGCTTATAAGAAAAAGAACTATCCTTTATTGCTATTCTGATCAATATTGATCAACCAACTTTACAAAAACTGAAAAGGCAATTAAAACAAAATACCAATAACATGTTAATTTTTTATAATTACTCAAACAAAACCCAAGTGATTATGTTTATGTGACAATATTAAAAGATGAACATAATCATGAGATATATCTTGAAGCACTCCAAATTGAAAAATATAAGACATTTATTAGAAAGATGAAAGAGAAAATTGAATTTTATATAAATCAGTATCATTTTGATATACCTTTAATTATGAAGGTTCTTAGGTAAAAGTATTCTTTATGTTTAATTTTTTTTAAAGATCTATATAGGGAAATTCAAAAATACAAGCCATTAGTATAGGTTAATAAAAGTGATGCATCGCTACTTTATAAGGAACTATTGTTCAAACAATAACAAGACTTTAGCTAGTTTGTGGTAATTACATGGAATGCTGAAACAAATACCTTAACTCAACTTTTTTGAATGAGTTCAGACCAGATTATTTTATAATATAAGTTTGATCAATTGGTTAGGCATAATAATATAGTAAAACCAATCATTACCATATGTTTTTGTTACTTTTTGTAATTCATAATAATGATATGAAGTCTTAAATTGTTGTGTAGGTCTTTTAAGTAATAAGACTACAGAATCATATCATGGTTATTGAGTATGACATAGAAGACAACAAGAGAAAAAATAACTGATGCAATTATAACTAATAGCAATCCTACTATAAAATGAGCTATTATGACTAAATAGTCAACTATTTAACATATTGTTTGCATATGGTATTTAAAGAAAAATCTAAAAAAAACATTTTGTGAAAAATTGGGTGTAAAATTTAATGCATTTTATTCCGATTTCTAGAAATGTCATAATAGCTATACATCTGAATGTTTTAACTTTTATTAGAATAAGTTAATAGAAAATTATTCATTATTAAAGTAATATTTAGAAAGTTAATTATATGAATAGCACAAGTCATAGGCATGGTGATTTACATTTATATTATTAGCTTTGAAAATTAAAACTACTTTATTTATTGAGAGTAAAAATGCATACATTAAGCATGTCTTTAAAAACAGTAATACATCTTTTTGTAATCTTAGTCAAGTTTTTCTAAACTGTGATAAATATAAAGTATATAAGAAACAATACAAAAATTTAACTGTTATTCCTTTAACAATAAATTGTGTAATAATTTTTTCAATAATAGAAGTGGTTATTACACATTACCTGTGCCCAAAAGTTGCATAATACTTAATTAGTCAAATGAAAGAATATGTTTACTACATGCATATTATTCTAATATTGAAAAGATTAAAAATACACCTGACAGTTTCTTTTATACCAATTGAATTATGACAATATTGTAGAAGTTTGGAAAGTTTTCTGAATTACTAGATACAATATGAATCACATAGTTTTTTGTCTTGTAAATAGGTCATATTGCTGCATCTGCTTATTACAACAAAAATTAAGACTTATGTATAGGCACTATTTTTATTTTCTGAATATTATAAAAGTAGCATGGTTCAGTATAAAGCTAATTAATATTCAGTAAGTTTCATGTAATAAGTGTAATAATGTACTAAATAAATGTAAATATTTTAAACAAAATTTTATGAACAACAAGTAAGAGAATTATGATAAATTACTTCTTCTAAATTATTACATATATGAATAAGACAACACAATAGCAATAATAACTTTATGAAAGCACAGCTGTTTTATAGAAAAGTATAGGATTTGGTATATACTGCAACTGATAAATGCTTACTGTACTAAAATTATAGTTTATTAAGATCATTGAAAATTATTTGGCTAAAGTGCATCAATATAAAAAGAAATTTATTTTAGCAAATACAATTAACTTAGAAAATAGTTCTAATAAAGAGAATATATCTTCAGATATACAGCTTAAAAATTTGCTAAAGGTTGTTATGAAGGGTAAACCAAAAATAGCTAGTCATTACAAAGAAAATACAAGTTACTACTTAATATATAATAATAATAAATGAAAGCATATTTCAAATTTTTGTAGTTCTATAAAGATTTAAGTTATAACATTGCTAGATGTTCAAAAAAGGTTATAAATCAAAACTATAATATGTATAATTAGGTTGCAGACTTGTATCATCCTATACTTTGAATTTATTTGCTTTTCTGTTATACTTGTATATAACTAATTTGATTGTTTAAATGTATGTACATGCTACTAACTGTTTTTGATTAGTATTTTCATTAATTCAATTAGTATTAGAACTAAAAAATATGTTATATATAGTACTATATATACTGTAAATATATACTGTACATATTGTGCTCAAAACGTTTTGCTGATCCTTTCTATCAACTAATCAAATTACTAAATATACACTGCATATACTATATGTCTATAAGTACTATACATACTGTATATAAAAAAATTTGGTATCATATAAATGACACCTCTCTAGTTAGGATAATATAATGTATATTTATATTGTAACTTGTTTTTATTAGTATTTCATATTAGTTAATTAGAGTTAGAATAATGTTTAATAATGTTGTATATTAATTAGTTTAGGGTTAAGATGTTGCATATTAGTTTTGTTAGTATTAAAATAGGTATAATATTTTATATTACTGTATTATATGAATAAATAAATAAACTATATATATCTTATAATTATGTGATGATGCATAGCAGTGGGGTGCATTAAAAAATAAAACCCAAAAAAAATAAAACCCCCAAAAAAATTAACTAAAAAAATTAAACAGGCCAATTACAAGACAATTACTAGATAAGATATGATTGAACAACAATATTACAATGTTGTGACTTGTTTGTTTATTTTTAAGGGTGGCTAGGAGATAGCTAGAACAGAGAAAAGGGTTTATGTTAACTGAAAAATCAACTTCAAATAGTCTTACTAGCTGTATAATAACTACTACTTGTAATAATTATAATTACTGTTTTTGTAGTAAATAATTACTACATTACTATATATTATAAGTAGCTGTGCAATGTTGTCACACAAAACCAAAAACAGAAAAACAATGATTACAGAGCTAGATACTGTGAAAAGATCTTTATAAAGGTATTTTTAATAAGTACATTTCAGACATATACATAATTTAAACATTGTAATTCTTTGATATTCTTTGATAGTCTATTATAGAAAAGAAATATTGTATAGTTACTTGTATGAATTAGTTTTAAGAAAAAAAGCAATTATAGCACTAGACAATGATTTTGTAGTATGTCATAATGATGTATTGCTATATTGCCATAATGCTATATTGGTGATGAACTTACAATATTAGGTTTTGTCAATAAAAATTATACTTCAGCTTGTAGGTTAGTTTCTTGTTGGACCTTATTGTTATAATATTTAATATACTTTAGTCTAATAAATTATAAACTTTAAAACCAGAAGGTAGATATGTTTTGGCAGTGCTTACTTTCAAAATTTAATTGCAAAGTTCACAATAATATGTCAAATATATTTTGATCTATTAACAAAATTCATTTTGGCAGAGTTTTTTGAATTACTTAAATTCAGCATAGTGCATACTAGCTTTACCACAAGAAATTCAGCACAAGATATACATATATATTCAGTTAGAACAAAATATTTAATATTCTCAAATAATCAACTAAAAATCAATATTATTTGTTATATCAACAGTTAGTCTGTATTACACAAGTAAAAAAAATAGTCAAGCATAATAATATATGATCAATAGTATAATATGAACCAATTAAATATTTAGAATTACACAGACACATTTGAAATGCCTGTAAACCATATACCACATTGTACATTGTACAATAAGTAGTTACACAATGTTGTTATATGAAATCGGAAACAGAAGAAATCTACGCAGACACCATTTCAGTCATGGGAACCATATTCTTCATTGCAATCTATTTGACATAAGAAAATGACTCTTTATAAAAGAAATAGATAGTGCTTGCAATCTGAATATTGGTTTGAATTTAATAACTGAGCCTAAAAACCTATTAATAAAGTTAATATCTGACTACTATATAGTTGGTTAGCTAGCTTCACTAGTTCTAATGAATCTGACCCAAAATTCTGAGGTCTTGCAAAAAACACTAAAAATCTACAAAATATATTTGTATTTAGAAATGATCGACAAATTCTTTCAATTAAGTCTTTGATAATCAGTATAAGCCCAATAAAAAATTCAATGAAAAAAAATGAAAATTACTAAATATTTAGCATTGAGGCTTTAAAATTATATTGAAACCCTAATTTTTGTGCCTTAAAAACTTATTTTTATTACCCTTTGTTATAGCATCTTCGATTTTACAGATATATGCATTTATTTATGGTTTTTTTTTAATAATATTAAATTATGAATAAGTCTCACAGACTAATCAATTCTAAAATTTTGCATACAGAGGCATTTGTTCCTGGTACCTATCTTTTAAAGCATTGTTCAGGGTGCTACACAAAGTCACAATGACAGATTACCCAATCATATGCTGAGAATTGCATACGCATATTAACTTGCATGTAAACCATATACTACGTACTTTGTATTCTGTTCCTAGTATAATGAATTATAACGTTATACTTTAATGGCTTAGTCAAGAAAGAAATAGTATATGTACCAAAATCTAATTTTCGATTAGTCAGTGTGATCATAATTGTCACATCATGTATATTCTTTTATCAACTATTAAAATCACTACTCATTTCCATCAAAGTCACAAACCTGCACTGCTAAAATGAGCATAAGCCACTAACTTCTATTGCAAATTCTTGTTAAAATATTTATTATTACTCAAATCATTAACTTACTTATTGTTTAAATTATTAATTTACTTATAGCTAAATATAGATAGTGATAGAATTCAAAAGAGAAAATTATAACAATGATTACCAATCATTTTTATTATTAAAATTTCCATTTTTTAATTCTATTGCTAAAATTAACTCATCAATATTAATAATCT